AATCGCAACCCGTGCGTGCGCAGACGCTGCGGGTTGCGAACGTGCATCCCGCACGGATCACTTTCACAACCTGAGCATCCACTGTACTTAAATGTATGGTGTGTACTTAGCTATTATAGTTGCGCTTTTTAATTTATCTATTTTGGGGAAATATGCCAAGACTATCCAAGGAATAGTCAAGTGAGCAAATTGGGAGTGGGAAGCACCTTTCCCCACCTCTAAAAGGGAATGTTTTGGGACTTCTGGCCTCCCTCCCTTCCCACGAGGTCTATCCGAGTCAATCCCTGCCTGCCTGCCCCTAAAAGTTTTAGAGTTTGTTTATTACAAAGGAAATGTGCAGACCTTGCTTTGTTTTCCTCTCTCTCTCTCTCTCTCCATTAGTGAGAGAAAGGATACAGAACATCTGGGGATGGAAGGGAGAAAAAAATAAAGAATCTAGGCAGACACTTCCGAGGGAGACCATAGCTGGAGACGGGGGACCTTGGCAGGTGCAATTCAGGGGGGGGGGCAATTTTTATTTATTTATTTATTTATTTATTTTAGAGGCATGGGAGAGGAAGAAAAGTGGAGAATCAAAATGTAAATCATCCTTGTATTATTGTGGTTGGTAGTATTGTCTGATACCTCAGGAGATGGCTGGGCTCAGCATCCGGTTGTTGTTTTTCCCACAGTCGGCATCAGGAAAAAGCTGGGGTTTCGTAAATACAAAACAACAAAAACACCGGCACCCCCCTCCTCAATTTAACGCTCTTTCCTGACCTCCCCCCCGCAACAATCCGTCCTTCTAAACCACCTGCTTCAAGGGAAGCGGGGTTGGCTTTTTTTTAACATAGAAAGGAAATGGGGGGGGTGTCAATTGAAATCCTAGGTCGAAACCATAAAGGGAGTAAAAGGGAATTCTGCCCCATTTTCCTTCCCTCCCGAAAACATGAAGGAGGGTGGTTTATAAGGTCACGCCTCTAGGGACATCCTAAGGGAGCTGTTGCACCTGGGATGCAAATGGTTTGAGCCTCCCTCTGTGTGTGATTATATATATATAATATCACATCCTGGAGAAATGGTGTGGACAGGTGCCATCAATGAACAGAAGCTTGAGGAAAGGAAGCCGTGCTGTTGCTTTCCATTTGTCTGTTGAGTCATGGTTGACATTTCCTTTTGATTTCAAGGTGTCTTCGGTGACTGCAGAGAGATGCCATTGTCTCCCTCCTCCGACCGAGAAATCCAGAGGGCACGTGAGAAACGCCCCCTGGTCTCAGTGCTGGATTTACGTATAAGCTAAACAAGCTATAGCTTAGGGCTCCACTCTCTTGGGGGCCCCCCAAAAAAATAAAAGGAAAAAAAACAACCTGGATGTACATTTCCTTTTTTTTTATTAAGAATTTCAACATAACAAATTATCAAAACACATCATCTTCATTTTCCCCCCATTTTCCCCTCCCCCTTCCCCAAGAAGAACCCTCCCTCCCCCCACCAAGACGTCCCTCAGCTCCTCTCTCTGATTTTTCAACACATGTTGTTCTCTGCATATTGTAAAATTGTAAAGATCCTTAAATTATCTGTCTTTTATGTTAACACTCAATAAATTTGTGTATGTTTATTCAAAACCTGCCAAGGAGTCCAATTCGTTTTGTTGGTTTTTTAAGTAGTTTGTAAAAAGTTCCCATTCTTCTTTAAAGTCACAGTTGTCCTTGTCTCGCAGTTTGTATGTCAATATCGCCAATTCTGCATAATCCATCAATTTCTCTTGCCACTGTTCTTTTGTCAGGATTTCCTCATTCTTCCATCCTTGTGCTATTAAGACTCTTGCCGCCGTTGTCGCATACATGAATAAATTCTTTATTTTCCTTGGCAGGTCTTTTCCTGCAATCCCTAACAAAAATGCTTCTGGTTTTTTTTTACAAATGTTAATTTAAACATTTTCTTCAGTACATTTCCAATTGTATTTCAGTTCAACCATTACTTTGATAAAATACACATTTTGTTATGTGCAAATGGCTTTAAATACCTATTAGGTCCATAAATTACCATGTAGCATATATTCAACACAAAAAACAGCAAGAATTTGTTGTTGACAAAGGACAGCTGGACATATAAAAGGCCCCATTACCTTCCGTAGCTGATTTAGGCCTCATCAAACCTAAATCCGGCCCTGCCTGGTCTGCTCACACTTGTTGCACTATCACTATCCAGCAATAGCAGACCTTCCAAGTTCTCCTATTTTCCAGGGACAGTCCCAGATTTACAGAAGTCATCCCGGTTTCTGATTTTATCCTGGAATGTCCCACTTTTCTTAGGATGTCCCCATTTTCATAGGAGAAATGTTGGAGGGTATCAAGTTATCTGATCCCCGAGCCATCGGATGGAAGCTCTGTATAGGGATTTTTTAAAAATGTTTAATGTTTTATTGTGTTTTTACATTTGTTGGAAGCTGTCCAGGTTGGCTGGGGCAACCCAGTGAGATGTGTGGGGTATAAATTATAAAACTATTATTATTATTATTATTATTATTATTATTATTGAATAAGACGTCCCCATTTCCATCGAAGAAATGTTGGAGGGTATGCCAATGTAATAAAACCGAACTCTGTCGGGAAATGATATATAATGAAATGAAAAAAATGATGATTTTCTTTTTTTAAAAAAGTCAGAAGTCTTTCTTTTAGGAATAATAGGTGTAGAAGTACCAAAAGATCGAAATAATTTATTTATGTATGCAACCACAGCAGCTCGGATACTATCTGCTCAGTTGCTGTTGCTTAAGTAATATTGTTATATTTATAGCACTAAAATGTGTTTTATTGTATGTTGTTATATTTGTTATTGTTTTGCTATGTTATAATAAAGCTGTTACTATGTTGAAATTGTTTTTGTAGTGTTCGTTTGAAATGTATTTCAGCTTTTGCATTTTAAGCTGCTTTGAGCATGATTTTCTTTTTGTGGAAAAGCAGTATACAAATAAAATGAATGGATGAATAAATGAAATGGAAGGAAGGAGCAGTCCCAACAAAAGATGAATGTCAGATTTGTGGGAATATTCAGATTTGCGGGAATATTCTGAAATGGCGGAACTAACAAGCAGAATGTGAGACCAAGAGAAGGAAGAGTTTAAGAAAGAATGGGGAAAATTTGTGGAATATATGAAGAATCATTGCAAACACCTTTAAACGTTAGCAGGATTTGAATAATTGGAACAGAGAAAATAAAATAGGGTGGAAATAGAAGGGAAAAGTAGTATTTTGAATATGCAGTTGAACAGGGGAGACAATAATGAATCATGGAAGGAGGGAAAGGGAAGCTGATGTGAATGAGATGATTTAAATAATTTGTAATATTGAAAATGATAAAACAGGGTTGCCATAATGTCCGGTATTCGGCCTTGGTAAACAGTGTATGGGTGAAAATGGCTGAAACGTCTGGTAAAATCCAGACCTATGGCAGCCCATATTAGAAGTGCATCTTGGCGAATTTCATTTAAAAACAGCTCAAAATCTTATTTTTTTTTAATGTCGAGATGTAGCCAAAACAACAACAACAACGGAGGGGGGGGCCCTCAACAACTTGGCAAAAAACAAAAAAAGCTCAGCAATTTTTGTTTCCGGATCTTCACTTTTTGAAATACGGCAACCCTAAACACACACACACACTGTCAGGCCCCTGACGACAATTTCCACCTGCTTGATGGGCAAGGTCTGAAGCAGTTAGCCAGGCCACAGGATCAACTGTCAACCCAGTCAATCTGTCAATCACAGTTTGTGACAGTTGCAAGTAATACCCATCGGGACGCTTAAGAGAAGCCGCGAAAACTTTGAGCGACCCCACTCAGGGGCAAACGAATGACTTCAGTGCCGTGCGTCGGAGGAGGGCTGTGGAACACACAAAACGCCCAGGAGGTGGGCAGGATTCGTCTTGAGGATTATGTTTTCATTAACCCAAGTTTCTTCCAGATGTCGTGCTCCTTCCACCCTGAGCTTCAAAGGCCCCCTTGGCGGGTTCTGACGAAGCCACGAGGGAGCGTGGGACAAAAAGAACGAGGGTGGCCGGGTTTCAAAAAAAAGGGCTCCTTCCCCGAGGCCCGCTTCCCGGCTCTAAAAACAAGCCTCGTCTTTGCGCACGTGTGTGCAAAATCCTATTCCCCCCCCTGCTTAAATTATGTGAAACGAAATGTGCTAACAACATGGAGCATGTGGGGGGCATTTATTTGTTTATTTCGTGCATCATAGTGAGGGGGTGTGGATTTAGTGTGTGTGTGTGTGTGTGTGTGTGTGTGTGCAAAGGAACATTGTTCCGGGCTGTTTTGTAACATCTTCTTGGCCACTCGCCCACCATCTTGGCAGCAGCCAAGGGTTCCTTCTCTCCAGACAGCCGTGCCATTTGGAGCCCAGGGATCCCTGCTTGCAACCGGTGGTGCTCCTTGGAGTGCCTGGGGGCCTGCCCTGAGATTGCCAGAGAGGCACATCCTGTGCGGCTCAAGAGGAAACTGGTTACACGAACCCGTGCTCATGCACAGTGCCGGATTTACATATAGTGGTACCTCGGGTTAAGTACAGTACTTAATTCGTTCCGGAGGTCCGTTCTTAACCTGAAACTGTTCATAACCTGAAGCACCACTTTAGCTAATGCGGCCTTCCACTTCTGCTGCGTGATTTCTGTTCTCATCCCGAAGCAAAGTTCTTAACCTGAGGTAAAAGATGCCTGCTTCTTGGGAGAAAAGCAATGACAAACCTAGACAGCATCTTAAAAAAGCAGAGACATCACCTTGCCGACAAAGGTCTGTATAGTTAAAGCCATGGTTTTCCCAGTATGTATGGAAGTGAGAGCTGGACCATAAAGAAGGTTGATTGCTGAAGAATTGATGCTTTTGAATTATGGTGCTGGAGGAAATTCTTGAGAGTCCCATGGACTGCAAGAAGATCAAACCTCTCCATTCTGAAGGAAATCAGCCCTGAGTGCTCACTGGAAGGACAGATTGTGAAGCTGAGGCTCCAAAATTTTGGCCACCTCATGAGAAGAGAAGACTCCCTGGAAAAGACCCTGATGTTGGGAAAGATGGAGGGCACAAGGAGAAGGGGACGACAGAGGACGAGATGGTTGGATAGTGTTCTCGAAGCTACCAGCATGAGTTTGACCAAACTGCGGGAGGCAGTGGGAGACAGGAGTGCCTGGCGTGCTCTGGTCCATGGGGTCACGAAGAGTTGGACACGACTAAACGCCTAAACAACAACAACAAATGGAGTTATCCGGCCCCCGAGCCGCCTGAAGGCAATCCTGTATAGGGAAAGGATTTTTATTAATGTTTAATGTTTTATTATATTTTTATATATGTTGGAACCTGCCCAGAGTGGCTGGGGCAACCCAGTAAGATGTGTGGAGTATAAATAGTAAAATTACCATTATGGAATGGGACGTCCGTATTTGCATCGGGGAAAAGTTGGAGGTTATCCTGTGCACACCCAGGATCTTGTACAATCTGGACCCTCGGGCAATAGGAGTGCAAGATGAGCAAGTTAGTCCAGTGACCTCTCCAGGCCACCAACCCCTGGCATGCAAAAACATCTGGAGCCCAGAAACATCTGGAGGGCACCAGGTTGACAGAAACTGGTCCTCTCTAACCAGCAATGTCTCTCCAGGGCTTCAGAAAGGGCCTTTCCCCCCCCTAGCCCTATAATCATAGATCCCTTTCAAAATGAAGATCTGAAAAGGCAAGGATCTGAAACTGGCCCCTTCATTTTCGACCAGCGACAGATCCTCTTAATTTTCGAAATGCCAGGCTGCTTTGGCCAGCCTGCAATTGCAGAGCATTCCATCCCAATTATGATTTACAATGCTAATATAAACTAGTCCCTGACAACAGCATTCATATTTGAATTGCGGTCGGGGTGGGGAGATTATTTCTGCCAACTTCTAAGTGGTACTAAGATCCCCGAAGCGCATTCCGGAGACAAACCGGCTCTGGAGTGCTCTCACTAATGACTGGCAATAGGTCAGAAGGAACCTGTTTAACCTGATGGGACGTTTATAAAAGGCCCCAGCGGAGCCGAAAGCATTCAGAGCAAGGGTGGCTCGGTTGAGGCTTTAAGTCCAAGACTTACTTCCCCATCCCTCTGGGAGAAGGCAAGAAGCTCATCATGGCAGCGGCCGGTATGTATCTCTGGAGAGTTTGATGATCTGCCTTTGGAATAGACACCAGAATTGAGCGGCATGGGATTAGGGACATCAAGAGCAAATTAGGCCCACAACGCCCTCTCCAAGTGTCTCGATTTTCCAGGGACTTTCCCAGAATTACAAAGCCATTCCAGGTTTGATTTGATCCCAGAAGAAAAATAGAAGTACGGTAACTTCTTAAAAAAACAACAACTTCAAGGAAAGGCTCAGAAAATAAATATCCCCCTGATGTAGTTCAGAAGCGTCAACAAACCTAGGTTTAAACTTTATAATAGCATTAATTCTTCAGTAGTGTTGATTCCTGCATTGCAGAGGGTTGGACTAGATAACCCGCAGGCCCCTTCCAACTCTGCAATTCTGTGTCATAGTAAATGTAGACCAAATGAGAGATTCCGAGCCTTTATTGCATTATTGGAAAATACATATCATGCTCCATCCCAGTATATCCTATTGAGGCTCTGTCCTATAGTCAGTCTCAGACTCTCTCTTTCTGAGGAGAGCGGGTGGCGCTGTGGTCTAAACCACTGAGCCTCTTGGGCTTGCCAATCAGAAGGTCGGGGGTTCGAATCCCTGCAATGGGGTGAGCTCCCATTGCTCTGTCCCATCTTCTGTCAACCTAGCAGTTCGAAAGCACTCTGGTGCAAGTAGATAGATAGGTACCACTGTGGTGGGAAGGTAAACAACATTTCTGGGTGCTCTGCTTTCCGTCATGGTGTCCCATTGTGGCAGAAGCGGTTTAGTCCTGCTGGCCACATGACCTGGAAAGCTGTCTGTGGATAAAGGCCGGCTCCCTTGGCCTGAAAGCAAGATGAGTGCCGCAACCCCATAGTTGCCTTTGACTGGACTTAACCATCCAAGGGTCCTTTACCTGAGAGCCAGTGTGGTGTAGTGGTTAAGAGCGGTAGTCTCATAATCTGGTGAACCGGGTTCGTGTCTCCGCTCCTCCGCATGCAGCTGCTGGGTGACCTTGGGCTAGTCATACTTATTTGAAGTCTCTCAGCCCCACTCACCTCACAGAGTGTTTGTTGTGGGGGAGGAAGGGAAAGGAGATTGTTGGCCGCTTTGAGACTCCTTAAAGGTAAAGGGACCCCTGACCATTAGGTCCAGTCGTGACCGACTCTGGGGTTGGGTGCTCATCTCGCTTTATTGGCCAAGGGAGTCAGCGTACAGCTTCTGGGTCATGTGACCAGCATGACTAAGCCGCTTCTGGCAAACCAGAGCAGTGCACGGAAACGCCATTTACCTTCCCACCGGAGTGGTACCTATTTATCTACTTGGACTTTGATGTGCTTTCGAACTGCTAGGTTGGCAGGAGCAGGGACCGAACAACGGGAGCTCACCCCATTGCGGGGATTCGAACTGCCAACCTTCTGATCAGCAAGTCCTAGGTTCTGTGGTTTAACCCACAGTGCCACCCGCGGGATATCAAATCCAAACTCTTGTTCTTCTTCTTCTTCTCTCCTCTCTCTCGCTCCCTCCCTCTCTCCCTCCCCTATCCTCCTGAGGGAGGGCACATGCTGCAACTTGCAGGGGTATATATCTGACAGGGGTTCCCAAGAGTTTTCCCCAACCCTAGCAAGCGTTGCACAGGATTGATCCTGGCCAATGTTCACCCACTGAGCTACAGCTCTTTCCGTTTCTGTGAGATAAGTAAACCAGTGCAGGCCTGCTGGAGATGAAAGGGTTATGCTCCCTCTCTCTGCTGTATGTTTGATCGTTATCACCACGAATAGACACAAGGGGAGACTTTGCACTCTGGGGCTTGCAAGGCAGAGAACAGGTGAGGACAAATCATTTCTCAGTCCTCGGATGGGTTTGGTCGCACCTGTTCAGTGATCGCTTGTAGGCTTTATCCCGGAGATCCAACCATCACATGGAAGTGGGATAGACAGTCAGAATCCCTCTCCCCTTTCCACCCGTTGGCTATTCCCGGAAAACAGGGATCAGGTGCCAAGTGTCCATATCAGCAGGCATGTCATATTTATTACGAATCTGAGGTAAGCACTGGCTGTGTCCTTTCAAACCTTGTCAGAACACTCTTTCTCCTCAAGACGTAATGGCTCCATTCCTCTTTCTGCAACAGGTGAAGCAAACCCCAAACTGTCTTAGAAGAGAGAACAGCTCGGAAGCTTCTGAATTTGAAAATTCCTCCTGTCAGGCAAGTAACAATAATAATAACAATAATTTATTATTTGTACCCCGCCCATCTGGCTGGGTTTCCCCAGCCACTCTGGGCGGCTTCCAACAAAGATTAAAAATACATCAAAATGTCACACATTAAAAACTTCCCTGAAAAGGGCTGCCTTCAGATGTCTTCTAAAAGTCTGGTAGTTGTTTTTCTTTTTGACTTCTGGTGGGAGGGCGTTCCACAGGGCAGGCGCCACCACCGAGAAGGCCCTCTGCCTGGTTCCCTGTAGCTTTGCTTCTCGCAGTGAGGGAACTGCCAGAAGGCCCTCGGCGCTGGACCTCAGCGTCCAGGCAGAATGATGGGGGAGTCACAGAGGGTCACCTTCCCCACCCCTAGCGCTCTCGAGAATTTTCTGGGCCACGATTCCCATCCTACCTAGCCATTGGTGACGCTGCCTGGGGCTGATGGGAGTTGCAGTCCAGTAATGTATGACGGTGACCGAAATTCTCCTCCAAGGTGATAGAAATTCTGTCACAATAACAGCTGGATTTGGCAAGGGTGCATATCATTTGTTTCCTTATACCCTGCAGGAAACTCCAGGATTTGCAGTCTTAGAAAAAGAGAGGATTGTACTTTTGCATCACTGTACAATTTTGGGGGACTAAATTTAAAGAAAATGAGGGGAGATGGTCCAAAGTAGTTGAGCTTTTTTTAGGGGAAATTGCACGCAGCTTCCCCTCCACACCACTATCCATGTATAGGACAAACCCAATTTTTTTGACATGGTTTCTGAGTCAAAAATACATGGGGAAATACAATATTTATTTTAAAGCCCTTCAGCGTTTTAGTGTGCTTTAGTCCTAATTTTGTACGCAATTTTGCTTAATGTGTACATTTACGCAAGCCGTTTCCCCCTAAAAGCGTGTGTTTCATGTGCTACTTTCGTTTGCATAACCATTTTTATACGCACTATCCCTAATGCATTCATTTATGTGCACATTACCGGCTTGGAGAATTGCATTGCAGCATTCAGAGGACTGCAGATATTGAAGGATAGATGTGTTTCAGTTTATGTTATCGTTTCGATAAGTGGAAATTGGAGATGAGAGTGCTGTTGCTCTCAGGTCCTGCTTGAACCCTGTGAGGACAGGATTCTGAACAAGTCGGGCTTTAGGCCAGGACACACCCCACCCCCAGGATTTTTTTAGGTCCTTAGGTTTATTTGCCATTTGTCAGTAACGCCAGAAGCCTATGCAACAGTGCACACACGCATCCTGGTGGCAGCCTTGGCAGCCGGCAACGTTTGTATTTGCACACGTGTCTTTTAATGGTTCAAGAAATCGAAAAACACGTGCAGTTGGGGAGTGCTGCAGAAAAAGAAGCTCAGTTGCCGAACAGTTCCGAATCTATCACTGTTTAATGTTTAATGCCACTAATAAAAGATAAACAGTGACAGTACCTTAAGCGCAGCGTTTAGACCAGAGCATCAGATGTGGAAGTTATCAGTCTATTTTTCCCCCATGGGTCTTCCCATATGGTGGTTAAAAAAAGAAGAAAGATTTAATGTCCTATTGTGTTGCGTAGTGCTATCTCCAATCTGCCCTTGAAGCTGACCCAGAAACTCCAGTGGGTGCAGAATGCCACGGCGAGGCGCCTTATGGGGTCCTTACAGCAGGATCACATTCACCCAGTGCTTTCACCAACTGCACTGGCTCCCGGTGGAGTACAGGGTCAGGTTTAAGGTGCTGGTTTTGACCTTTAAAAGCCCTATGCAGCCTAGGACCCTCGCACCTACGGGACCGCCTCTCCTGGTATGCCATGTGGCAGACCTTAAGGTCCACAAATGACAACATTTTGGAGGTCCCAGGTCGCAAGGTGGTTAGATTGGTCTCAACTAGAGCCAGGGCCTTTTCAGAACTGGCCCCGACTTGGTGGAACGCTCTGTCACAAGAGACTAGGGCCTTGCGGGACTTGACATCTTTCCGCAGGGCCTGCAAGACAGAGCTGTTCCGCCTGGCCTTTGGTTTGGACTCAGTCTGACCCTTATGTTTCCCTCCCCTTATGGTTTTGATCTATCAGCTACTTTTAAAATGAGGCTGCATTTTAAATTGCATTTTAACCTGTATTTTAAATTGGTGTCCCCCCCCCCATTATGCTTTTACTGTGATTTTATTGGTGTTAGTGGCCTTGAGCCCAGCTCTGGCCGGGGAGGGCGGGGTATAAATAAAATTTATTATTATTATTATTATTATTATCTGAAGCCAACAAGAATATGGCAGGCATTTTTAATTACTTCTGACTACAGAACTTGCCAATGAACTGGCTGACCTTGTGGTTTTGCGTTCCCCTTTCTGCAGGATCTTCTTGGCGTCTCCTGCTGGAAGATGTCCAAAGTGTTCTCCACCAGCCTCCGCTGTCGGTTGCCTGCCTTGCTGTTCCTCTTCCAGGGAGCTGTGCTGGTGATCTTCGCCCTCTTTGTGACATACGATGAGCACACGGACGCCGCCAGCCAGCCTGCTGATGCTGACCCATCCGCCAACCAGGTCTACGCCATCTTCCCCTTCTTCCAGGATATCCAGCTGATGCTGTTGGTGGGGTTGGGCTTGCTGCTGGCTTTCATGAAGGGCTACGGAGTCAGCGCCGTGGCCTGCAACTTCCTGCTGGCCAACTTCTCCACCCAGTGGGCCCTGGTCGTCCAGGGCTTCGTACACTACGGCCAACATGGGAGAGTCCACCTCGGCCTCTACAACATCCTCACGGCCGAGTTTGCAGCCGTGACGGTCCTCATCTCTGCTGGGGCCATCCTGGGTCGAACAAGCCCCATCCAGCTTCTTCTCATGAGCTTGTGCGAAATCCCTCTCTATGTGGCCTGCGAGTGGCTCATCGTGAGTTATTTCCAGGCAGTGGATGTCGGAGGAACCATAACCCTCCACGTCTTTGCTTGCTATTTTGGGCTGGGCACTTCCATTGCTCTCTACAGGCCGGGATTGCAGCTGGGGCATCCAATGGAGACTCCATCTTACATCTCTGACCTTCTGTCCTTGGTGGGGACCATGTTTCTTTGGGTGTTCTGGCCCAGTTTCGTGGCTGTCCTCGCCCACCAAGGAGATGCCCAGCACAGGGCTGTGCTTCACACGTGGCTTACTCTCAGTGCCAGCGCCCTGACCTCCTTTGCCACCTCCAGCCTCCTGGAGAAGAAGGGGAAACTGAACCTGTGCCACCTGCAGAACGCCACGTTGGCCGGAGGTGTGGCCATTGGCGCAGTAGCAGACATGGTCATTTCACCAGCTGGGGCATTTGCCCTGGGCATTGTTTCCTCGCTAGCCTGCATCCTTGGGTTCAAGTACATGTCACCGTTCTTCGCCACTAGAGTTCGCCTCCAGGACCAGTGTGGAATCCACAACCTTCACGGCTTACCAGGCATCATTGGCGCCGTGGGCGGAATCGTAGCCATCTTGTTGGTGCCGGATGAGGCCTACGGACCTCGTCTTCACCAGGTCTTCCCTCAGCGTGGCCTGCTGCCATTGAACGTCACCCTGGAGACAACCTTGGTGGGGCAGAACGTGGGAAGAAGCGCCACGCAGCAAGCTCTCCACCAGGTTGCAGGTCTCGGTGTCTCTATACTCGTATCCCTTGTGGGTGGCTACTTCACTGGGTTGGTTTTGAAACTGCCTTTTTTAGCACAGCCGCCTGACCAAGTCTGCTTTGACGACGCTCTTTACTTCAAGATCCAAGAGTCAACGGAGAACTCAAGTGTGGAACAGGCTAGAGGTGACCTCCTGGTGCCCCTGAAGGACAAAGCTTGAGGGTCTGTCTGCTTGTGCCTGCAAAGCAGAAATAAAACAGTGGGGCATCACTGAGTGGGAGAGTTACATTTGTCATGGTTTTCCTGGAGTGTCGTGCTGTTGGGGCTGGAAGATTTGAAGTAGGACCGTGCTTCCTGCTTGGAGGCAGATGGGACAATTGACCCAAACACAGAGGTAGCTGTTGAAGTGAGGGCAGCAAAAATTCAGCTAAGAAGCTCAAATCATATATATGACTGACACCTTTCTTTGGAAATTAAATCACTGCCCGGACTTTAACATTCAAAAACTTTACTTGCAGAAACTTATTGTTGAATTACAACTTAATATTTACAGTCACATGCTTCTCCAAGCATGGGTTTACAGTCTCTTCTTCTAACTTCCAAAACAACTGTATTTTCCTCTCTTTCCAGAGCTCAGCACTCAGTTTTCTGCATCTCAGTTAGGCCATGCAGTGCAGCTCCTATGAAATATCTCACCTTCTCCTGCAGCTTAGCTCTCTTTCCTTCCAAGCAGAGAATAAGCGCTCCAACATTCTATTCAACTTAGCAGTGTTCACAGTGGATTCTAAAACACAGTCATCTTGCTTCACATAAAAAGGGAGCCTCTCCTTCACTAAATACCTCTCATGTAACCAATGTTAGCCAATCACATGAGAATGTCTAGAGAACTCTCTAGAATTCAGCTACCAACCCATCAGATTTAAACACATAGTAATGCATGCAAGCATTTACAATTTCGGTGAATTAAATAACTAAACAGTAGCAGCTGCTGGGGCATCTAGGTTGATTTCCCCCAACTATTTTAGCAGCTCCAAGATGAGTTGTTTTGGCCTCCCCTTCTCTTGGACTTGACAAAATTACTAGGCCAGGGCTTTGGTAGCAGATACGTTAAGGGTGGGCAACTTTTAGTTACCACAGACATTTTTAATGGACGCTTTTACTGTATTGGACTTGAAATTGCATACACACATACACACACACCTGACCAGGTGTTAAGCACTTTTTCTCGTCCCATCGACATCAGAGGCATGGTTGGTGGTGGGACAAGAGAGAGCCTTGGACCACATCAGAGAGGCTGAGAGTCTTGTCACCTGGGCAGACCAGGACCTCCATCCACACAGCCCAGACTAGTGCCCCAGGGAGCTCACTTCGGTGTTACAAATGCAGCGGTTTGACTTCACCCCTGGAGGCATACTCCATTGTATCTCAAGACAGACGGATGCCAACATACACATAGTCATACCTCGGGTTACAGATGCTTTGGGTTGTGCGATTTTGGGTTGTGCACCGTGCCGAACCCGGAAGTACTGGACCGGGTTACTTGAACATGCACAGAAGCGCCGAGTTGCAATCTGCGCATGCGCAGACACACGGGTTGCGGGTTGTGAACACTGCAGGTTGCGAATGTGCCTCCTGCACCGATCATGTTCGCAACCCAAGCGTCCACTGTATATGCATCAGAGGGTGAGGAGAGTTGGGCGCAGTGTGTTGCGGATATTGAAAATTCGGAATGTGGCGCTCATCGCATGAGTGAGGAGGTCTTTGCGAGGGAGTGAAGTTTCCCACACTCGCGAGGCACCCCAGGGACTGGCCTGAGGACGCGTTGGCGCCCTGTCAGCGCTCTGGGAGATGCCGGGACGTTCCAGGTCCTCCTCGTGGAGCCAGAAGCCACCACCAAAAAGCAGAAGAGCTTCTGGAAGACGTACTCGACAACGGCGCCCCCCCCCCCGCTTGGCACAGGGCCACGCGTGAGAGAAGGCCTGAGAGCAAGGCTGGGGAATCGTTAAGGCAAATAATCGCAAACAGACCCGAGAGCGGCCTGTGTTTGTTTTGTTAATTGTCAGCGTAAAATGCTGTGCAGAGCCTGACAAAGGAACACCAGCGCTGACTCCTCCACTTGGGGAAAAGAAAAAAGCATCGTTCTCTTGAAAAACAATCCCGTCTCCTTTCGAGGCAGGAGGCAACGGAGGGGGGGGGGATGCAATGCCATGGGGAGGCCTAGGGGGAGCGAACCTCAGGAGTCTGTGTGGTATATGGAGAGTACCAGAGGGTACGGAGGTGGTGCGTCAGAGGAAGAAGAAGAGTTTGGATTTGATATCCTGCTTTATCACTACCCTAAGGAGTCGCAAAGGGACGCGGGTGGTGCTGTGGTCTAAACCACAGAGCCTAGGGCTAGCCGATCAAAAGGTCAGCAGTTCGAATCCCCGCAATGGGGTGAGCTCCCGTTGCTCGGTCCCTGCTCCTGCCAACCTAGCAGTTCAAAAGCACGTCTAAAAGTGCAAGTAGATAAATAGGTACTGCTCCGGCGGGAAGGTAAACGGCGTTTCCGTGCACTGCTCTGGTTCGCCAGAAGCAATTAAGTCATGCTGGCCACATGACCCGGAAGCTGTACGCCGGCTCCCTGGGCCAGTAAAGCGAGATGAGCACCGCAACCCCAGAGTGTGAATTGGATCTGCAAGGTTTGGTGGCCAGGATACCTATTTAAAAACGCTGGGCAGGGCAGGTAATGGGGGCTGCTCATGAGGGGCAGGCAGTCATCCCTTATCCAAAGTTTCTGTCTTCACACACATACACACCCAAGGGATTCTCTATCCCCTTTCCCCTTTGTTCTGCACTTCACACACCTGCCTGCCTGCCCTCTCTCAGCCTGTCCCATCCTGCCACATCCTGAACGGAATTCCTCTTGTCTGTCTGGAGCCAGCGAGAGGACAACAGATGGACCCTCCCTAAATGGCTCCAAAAAATCAGGACTGTCTGCCGAAAGTCTGGCCCACGAATTCTTATTAACCACAATCACCAGGCCGTGCGCTTGCAGAACTGAGAAGCTGGAAGAGGATATTTATTTTTTTATTTAATTGGAAATGCATGTACATGCTGCCCCTTCAGTTCAGGACCTGCAACCATGATCCAGGGTGGCTAACGAGCCTCTGTTTTATCATGTGAGTAAATCATTCCAGCAAATATGAAAAATAAACAATAAAAATCACACATGAGCCGGGGAAACAGAAGCATAAAAACATCGAGTCGTGGCAAATGGAATAAAACAAATTCAGCCAGAGCAGGATTTGCAACACAAGGTGCAACTACAATCTCTGCGGAAGAGGAGCATCTGTTCTCTGCTTAAATACCCAGTCCTGAGGCAGCCTGTGCCACTGCTTTGGCCATTAGGAGTCCAGCTCTTTCCGTTATAAAAGTTCCCCTGATGTTTAGCCCCAAACTGCTTCCCTCCAATTTACATCCCTTGGCTCGAAGTCCTGCACTCGGGACGTCTGCCCAATCTGCTCCAAAACATCCCTTCGGATATTTGCAGGCATCTATCAAGCATTCCTCATCGGACGCGATTTCCAGATTCCTCACCACGTTTGCAGAACTCGCCAATATCATTCCTCCCCCTTGTCTGCTTTCTCACCTAAGAAAAAACCCCAGATGCTTCAGTCTCTCCTTGTAGGGAAAAACTCCATTTTCGTTCTCATCCCATCATTTCAGTTGCCCTGTTCTCCGCAATCTGTAGAGTCACACATGGGCTGGGAGAAAGTGTAATATAAGTACAATATAATATCTTTTTCCAAGGGGCAATCAGAACTGTTTGCAGTATACCAGCCGGGCGCAGGTGCGTGCAGAGAGGCCTTGAAGGCTTTCCTGGGCCTTCCTCAGGAACCCCAGCCCCGCACTTGCCCCCCATGACTGCTCTGGGAGGAAACCTCCCTCGCCTCCTTCTCCCCCCTCTCTGCTGCTATTTTGGTGAGACTCTCCTGTCCCAGTTTCCTTCTTCCGGTTGTTTTGCTCTGATCCCTTCTCCCTGCCTCTCCTCTCTCTCTCTCCTGCCCCCTCCACTCTTTCCTTCCTTCCGTCCTGAGTTTCCATGCCATCATCCCTCTGAGGACATTTGGTGACATTGTTTTTGCTATGAGGAAATCCATCCCTGCTTTCCCCACCCTTTCAGGACTAAGCTAGCAACTTGCAACTCCCATACTCCCCTCCGACTGAGCACAAAAGAGCGAAGGCTGTAATTGGGAGCGGAATAGCATTGGGCTTGGGGGAGATTCCCTTCCCTCCCTGGTCTTCTTCCAGTCCCCACCACCGATTTTGAGAGATGGTGGAAAGGGTTAAGCATCCTCCCTCCCTCTGCCCTCAGCTGAAATTGGCAACCTCCCACGCCTGCTTTTCAACGACATAATAATTTGTAAAAATCAAAACAGAAGATGGAAAAAAGATGTGCATTTTCTCCGTATCTTCTGCATTCGTGCATGAACGTTCTTACAGCCAAGAATCACATCACAACATTTGGAGAAGTGTGATATCTGACTGATTGCTGGGCTATATCTTGCACAATGGTTCAGGGCGGGGGGTGTCAGTGTACATGGGAATTGGCTTGGTCTGCCTCAAAATGCAGGCCAAACAAACTCCTGAAGCATCCCTGGGCTGGAAAACACCCTCACCTGCCTTCATGGCCACCAAAATCAGGTACCATATTTTTCACCCTATAAGATGCACTTTTCCCCTCCTAAAAAGTAAGGGGGAATGTGTGTGCGTTTTATGGAGCGAATGCAGGCTCCATGGGTTCAGCGAAAGCAATGCAAAGCCTCCGAAGTGCAGTAGGAGCGCTCCCGCCGCACTCCGGAGGCTTCACGTTGCTTTCGCTGAAGCCTGGAGAGCGAGAGGGGTCAGTGCGCACCAATTCCTCTTGCTCTCCTGGTTTCACTTCGCTGGAGAGGTGCTGCACAGCTTTCCCTCTCTGCGCAGTGCCCCTTCAGCAAAGCGGGAGGAGAAATGGAAGGGGCTCCGTTTCTCCTGCTGCTTCGCTGAAGGGGCACTGCACAGAGAGGAAGAGAATATATTTTTTTCTTGTCCTCCTCCTCTAAAATTAGGTGCGTCTTATGGCCGGGTGCGTCTTATAGAGCGAAAAATCTGGTAGTTTTTAAAGGCATGTGTATCTTTCATGGAAGATAAAGGCTACCAATGAATACCAGCTATGAAAATGCCAAGATCAGAGGGAGGATATCTCCGAACACTGGTTGTCCGGGATCTCGAGTGCTCAGATTCTGTTTGCAGGCTTCCCAAAAGCATCTTATCGGCCACTGAAGGAGGACTGGACAAGGTGGGCTGTTGGCCTGATCCTGTGGGGTTCCTTCTTGCGCCCATCTGTGCTGCACACGCAAAGCAAGGTCTCTTTTTAAGGAAGAGTTTTGACGCTTGGGCAACGCAGCCGAGGAACTGTGGGACGGAGGAAGGGGGAACAGAAGGCTGCCTGTCTATGGAGCGTTCATCCTGATTTGTTTTCAGGAAAATTAGGCAACATTGGTTATTCAGTGAGCATTCACGCTGATCTGATTGCA